TGCATAAAAAATCTGAGTTCAGAACAGACACAATATATATATATATATATATATATATATATATATATATACAATGACCCACTTTCAATCCAAAATCATCAAATATTTCTATAAATCTCTTACCCCATTATTCTCCTTTACCCAACTATATATCCATTAAAATGCTGAACACATTGGTTGGCTTTTTTAGTTATTTATTTATCTCGATTGTTTTGTTCGAATCATGTTTGTTTATCACTTTATCGAGTAGTGTGAGTTTTGGCCTCTGCATTATTGTTTGTAGTTTTGAGTCCAGAATTTTTTTGTGTTGTGATCCTTATTCTAGATGATAGTTGTTGTAGTTGAAGTAGGAAGAGATGAATGACTTCGGTTGCTATATGAGGTTCAGTTGACCCAGCTGGGGAGAAAAAATAATAATAAATATGAGTTATACTGCTTGATATCAGGAGAATATAATAAGGTTTTACCAAAGTGTTCCTCTGGGCTTCCTTATCCAAAACAGTCTGCGTTTGTGCAGCATCAAATTTCATAACAGCAGCTATCACCCTGATCAAGGTACTGTTCGTGTTGGCTCCAACACCTCCAACACCTCCGGATAAATATTGGTATAGAATATTTTTAAGGTACTCGAACTCTGTTAGTTGTGTGATGCCTTCGGAATGTCTTCTCGTAACCTAAAAGATAAATAGATGTTAGAAATAGGTGGATTTTGGCTTACAAAAGCTAGTAATATTTTAATAGCAGTGTTTTTAACCAGCTAACATTTTTTTAAATTTTTGTCCGTCAGTCTGTTTGTTTGGACTAATCTCCGAAACGGCTGGACCGATTTTGATGAGACTTTTATTGGGAAGTAGATTATGTAATTGAGTGTAACATAGGCTACTTTTGTTTTAAAACAAAAATATTTTATATTTAACTTCCCGTAGGGTAAATTATAGTAATGGGCCAAAAATCGAAAATGAAAATTTTTGCATATCTTCACGTTTCAGAGGTTTCTGAACGTTTTGACATACTTCAGAAAAAATGAATGTGTGTGTGGAGACAATTTTTCGTCGACGATCTCAGGCTTACGGATCAACCGATTTGAATGATTCAAAGAACATTCGATTCCTATTGATAGGGAGATGTGCTGATTAGTTTTTGGTAAAGGCAGGTCCAGCCGTTTCGGAGATACGGAGCAACGAGTGCAGAAAATAGAAATCGAGTTTTTGAGAGAACGGAACATCCGATTTGAATGATCCAAAAAACATTCAATTCGTAATGATTGGGAGAAGTGGTGATTAGTTTTTGGCAAAGACAGGTCTAGCCGTTTCGGAGATACCTAAATGTGCAAAAATTGCAGTTTTTGTGAGAACTAAGCATCCGATTTGAATGATTCAAAAAACTTTCTGCTTGTGTTGACGAAACAATTGTTTTTGGAAAAAAA